GGGCGTTCTGTGAAATTTAACCAAATACTTTTCAGGGATGGCCAACTTCCAAGTGGTCATATGTACGTTCCGAGATAAAGGTTTCGGGGCTTTTTGGTTCCCTGTTTTTGAGAGAAAGAATATCTTGAAAGCATGCCAAAAGTATCAAAAGTGATACTTTTTGACGAGCTTTCAAAAGAAAAAATTTAGCGAACCACCGAACCACTGTGTCTAACCAATGGAAACGCTCGCTGCGAGTGTAGATCATATGTCATCTTCATGAAAGGGCCCCACTCAGGTAACATGCTGTTGCTCCTATTCACTTTGATTAGGTTTGATTCCCTTAAAGAAAATAAATAAAAATACAAAGTAGTTCGGTCTCCAAATAAAAACGGGTGATTCAGAAAAAAGCGGAAATAAAAAAAAGGGGGGAATCTAGACGATGTCCAGAATATCAGGATATTTTTCTGATATTGAAGTGGAAAAATGGGAGGCATCCTTCAAAGTGGGTTGAGCGAGTGGAATATCCTAAATAATATTCTCATTATTTCAAACGATGCCCTTCAGACTTTCTTGGAAGCTAAATTGAATATATTCTGTTTTTTTTAGCGAACTTTCACACTCATGTGGAAAATAAACAGAGACGGTTCTTCTGACCATAATTCCCTTCGGGTTTGACTATTTGCAAGTTCCACCTTTGATCTTTTTTTTTATTACCATTTATTTCTAGAAGGCTGATCAAATGTTGAAAATGACTCTAATTTACTAGTTAAAGTAGTGTAATTCATAGGACAAGAGCCAAAAGAAACGATTCTTTTATTTATTTAGTTTTTTTATTTACAACTCTTTTAAGTTTCTCTTTTTACACCACCTAAAGAAACTTAACTCACTGACTACAGAATTTCCTTTTTTTTTACACCACCCCCCAAAAAACCCAGACTCTCGATCTACATATCAAAGGGATGGAACAAGTTCAGAGCTAAAATCAAGGTTTGGTTTGAATTTAATTATAAACAAATTACAGAAATCATTTATTGACTTACTGATCCATGTTTCCCTTATATTTATGAAGGATTATTTTTGTATTTGCACATTCCAAATATTATTTTTGAAATCATTAATAGTTCATCTTTTAAGTACCAAAATGACCATTTCTTAGTTGAATTAACAAGGGTAAGAACACTTTTTGTCGTTTTTGTCAGATTAATGCCTTTGGAAAAATATTATTACAATTTTATGACTGCAATTTTATTTGGAGTTAAGGTGAATTGATAAAATTGAGATATGACTACGATTTTTCGATAAAAATAAATTTAATATGTTATTTAGTCATTATTATAGCTCTTGGTCAGCGTAAGCTAAGGGCTAGGTGAAAGTCCTCTTGTAATGGATATTTTGTCACAAGTCCATAAAAGACTGCTGGCATTGCGTGTGAAATCCCGCGTTGGTGCTAGTTTTGGTTCTATGAGTCACTCTTGAGGGTCCTGCCCGCAAATTTATATTTGATTATGCACACACCTGCAATATTGAAATTCAACACGTGAAAATTCAAACATAAACAAGCCAATAGAAATCATTGTTAACAAAACAATTTTTAAAGAGATTTTAAAAATGAAGTGAAGAAAAAAAAAATATGAACAAAAAGATTTAAAAATAGAATAAATATCTGTTGTGTACTTGTGTATACGTATTTATCCGGAATTTCTGCAGTGACGAAGCGACAGTAGCATCTCCGTATTTCAACGCCGAGAATTCACCTGCAAAAGATAAAAAGAAAAACAAAATACATCAGTAAGAAACTTACGATAGAAAATTATTACAATTTACAAACAACGAAAAGTTCTTCCCCCAAAATATTAAAAAGGAAATTAAAGAAAAAGTTCTTAAGAAAAAGAAGGAAGAAAAAAAAATAGTGCCCAACTTAAACTACACGTCACAGAAAGCAAACGGCAATTGACGGAACAGACGTCCAATACAAAGCCAGAAAAGACGTCAAACATAACGGCGAGGAAACGGGATCCGAAATCAGAACGCACGTGCTACGCACATGACAACCACACAAGGTGACAAGGGAAACAGAACAGCCCAAATTCAAGCGGAGAAGATGAACGGGAAAGAGCACGGACTGAAATTGAGTTAAAAAAAAAAATCCCACACCAGTAATTTTAATCGTTTTAAAGTTTAAGGTTTAATCTTTTTCTGGGTTTTGTGTTTTTTTTTCGCTTTTTTTGTATTTAAGAAAAGTACGGTTACAGTCCCCTGTTTTACATCAAACGCATGTCCTCAAAGTTCGCTTGCAGTGGTTCCCCCTTGTTTTTTTCTGGTTTTTTTGTTGTTGTTGTTTTTACCTCTCAAAATCATCGATCAATTGTGCACCAGATAGCGATAGTTCCTCGGCTGTGCATGCTGCTGACGCTGGTGATGATCATACTTGTCGTCGAATCGAGCATCCCTCAGAGATCGACCGTACAATCTCGAAGGCACAGACGGGATCTGATGATCATGATGATGATGATGATGGTGGTGGTGGTGATGACAGCGATGAGACCGAACTGGGGACAACGACGACGACGACGACGCCTGCGGCGGCGGGGAGGGACTTTTCGAGGATTTGGAGGACGCCATCGGCTCATGAAGGAAAGCTCTGATCTTTAGGGGATTTACCCTCTCTCTGTTCGCCAAATCGTACTCCTCGATCAGATTCGCCAGATCCTCATCGGACGTGATGGAAACGAGCGCATCGAGATCCTCGGTCGGCAGCTGGCACCTCAGGCTCACCGATCCCCAGCCGCACAATTCCCCCAGTTTCGTCTGCAGCTCTGTTAAATCCACCAAAAAAAAAAAGAAAAAAAATAAACCCCCTCTTAACTCAGTCCCTTTATTTCCCTTTCCACAATCTGATCAACTCAAGAAATTAATAACAACGACGGAACAAAAAACCGACCTGAAAACGGGACCGAACGGTCGACGGCGAGGACACGAGTCTCCC